GGGGATGAATCGATGTCAAATAGAGTTATTCTTTTTTTTTTTTAAGTTCCTTCTAGATGCATAGCCAACATACCTGACATAAGAGGACAAGGGGCTAATTGACTCGCATGCTCACCATGGAAGGGAAGTGAGTACTTAAGTAGACTTAGCCACATTGAATTGATCTCGAAGTAGACTGGGTTGTGCCTTTGGGTTTGTTGGGGGTAAGGAGTAGTTTCTTTTCCGCCAGAGGAGAAATGAATCCACGAATCAAGAAGTGAACCTTGTTGTTTGAAACGATCCAAGTGAAATTGGGACTACATGTTGGACAAAATTCGAAAATATTTGGAAAAGAGAACAGAAAATATAGTAGCAAGAAACACCGAAAAACACTAAAATGAGACTTGTATGCATAATCGTTGTCCTCAAATGATATTTGTCCCTTCTAGGATTGATTTCCGTACTTAAAAACGACTTATGGCAAATCGTTTGTAGAATTGAACAAGCATTGAAGAAGAAAAACACACAAACTCTCGTATTTTTCTTTTAAAACTTGAAGAACACGAAAATGGTTTGAATATGTAAGAATTGAGAAAAACACCTTCAAATGTGAAATGAATTATGATTTCTTTTTGTTTAGAAATGCAAAACTATCACCTATTTATAGTTTTCTATCAATACATCATGAAAAGGCTCCAAATATTCATGAAAGTTGAGAGCCTTCCATGAAAAGGGTCCAAAATTCAAATAAGAAAACAAGATTAGCCATGTGCATGAATGGTTCACCAAGTATGGTAGCATGATAGTTTAGAATCAGGTATTCCTTATGATGAAACCGGTTAAAACAAACACACAAGTGTCATATGTTTCTCAAGTTTCTCAAATTCGTTTAGCGCTATTATGGCCTTATACTTATCCTATTCGTTGAACCTTTAAGAGAGAAAATCCAATTCTTTATTGAGGCAGCACCACTTCAAAGTTCATCTAGGTGAAATTCTTTCAGTATCTTTATTACTTTTAAGGATATTGTACTTAATACTGAACTTCATTAAGAGCTTAAAGCTCAATCCTCCTTTAAGTAACAACCAGCACTATTAGATTAGGATATGGTTCTTGTATGGAAATAACAATGTTGAAACTATCCATTTATCAAATGACTTGTTAATGACATGTAGGGTTGATATCATTGATGAACCATGTTAATTTAGGAGTTTCAACCTCATCCTACTCGATATAGTTATCACTAAATATCTATTAAAAGACTTAGTTAAAGGATATGTGCTAAATACTCACTTGACTTGTCGAAATTTAAAGAAATTATTCCGCTCTTGATTATTTTCTTACAAAGTCATGTCTTAAACTCTTAAGTTTAGACAGTGTATACCTTATTGTATGCTTTTGCTAATATGTCTTAACTATCACATAAAATAGATATCGAAGATGTGTTCTTCAGTCCCAAAGGTATCTTATAAAAAGGATCCTTAATCAACTCAACTTCTTAATCAATGTCATCTAAACTTTAAAGAAACTACACATCTCAAAGAGTAAACACCAAACTTGTAGTAGATTTACTTTCATCAGTGCTAGATATCCAACTAGTATCAGTAAATCCTCCTAATAGAGGCGGGAATTTGGAATATTATAAACATAAGATTTTTGTTTTCTTTAAATAATCAATAACTCTCTCAATGGCCTTCCAATGTTCCTTGCTCAGATTACTAGTAAACTTACTGAGTTTACTAATTGTAAATTCTATGTTAGGTCTTGTGCATTGAACTGTACACATAAGACTACTTGTAGTCCTTGCATACTCTAGTTGAAGAATAGCCCTTCCATCATTTTTTATAAGTGTAGAGCTTTGATCAAGAGTGGAACTAAACTCTTTTATATTTAAGTGTCGCGACTTATTTATCACATTTTCTACATAATATAATTGACTCAAATAATATCCTAGTTTTTGTAACTTTTATTCCTAATATGGTATCCACTCGTCCAAGATTCTTTACCTCGAATGTGTAAGCTAGCAATCTCTCTCTTTTTAATCCCATCTATGTGATTAATCAAAATATACATATCACCAACATTCAAACAAATAAATACCAACATATTTATCGCATATTTTGGAATACAAACACTTATCTACACTATTATAATGAAACCAAAAGAAATTATTACTAGGTCAAATTTATCATGCCATTTCTTTAGTGCTTGTTCGAAACCATATAATGATTTTACCAACTTTCACACTTTATATTCATTTCAGGTAAAACTAATCCCTCCGATTGTTTCATATAAACATTTTAATCGAGATCCCCATTTAGGAATGCCGTTTTAACATCCATTTGAAGAATGTGCAAGTTATATATGGATGCTAATGCGAATAATATCATAATTGATGTTATTCTAGCTACCAGTGTAAATGTATCAAAATAATCAATTCCTTCATTTTGTCGATAACCTTTAGCCACTCAATTAGCTTTCAAAGTATTAAGAGAATAATCTACATTGTATTTTCTCCTAAACATTCATTTACAACAAATATGTTTAGACACGGGTGGTAAATCTACAAGTTTCCATGTATTGTTTGGCATAATTGAATTATCTTATTTTTTAATTGCATCTTTCCAAAAGATACTATCACGAGAAACCATAATTTCTTTATACGTTTTAGGATCAATTTCTACTTGTAGAATAAAAGATATTGTTCTAACAACATTTTTCTCATTTCCCTTTACTAAGTAAAGTGAAATAATTTGGAAATTTATTTCATCCAATCTTAATGTCTTAACTTTTTGAGTTATTTTCCTTATTTGAGGTTCACGAGATTCATCAACATCTTTAGGAGATGTTTCATCTTGTGTTCCATTGGAGCTAGAAATCTCTCTTTGAGTTTTCCTTAACTTATTATTCGAATATAGTAAATTCTTAAAGAATTTCACGTTATTTGATTCAATTATCATATTGATCTCCAAATTTAGTAATCTGTAATATTTGATATTACTAGTATATCCAACAAAGACACATTTAATGCCTTTTGGACCCAACTTTGTCCTTTTATAGTTCGTGTTCTTACAATACGTAGGACAGCCCTACACTTTGAAGTATCTAATGTTTGATTTTCTTCATTTTTACAATTCATAAGGAGAAACCCTTTGGGTTTTGAAGAATTCTATTTATGATTCTACATGCACTTAATGAATCTTTACCCCATAAGTTAAATGACAGCTTCACATAAGTTAACATGACATTTATCATTTCAACCAATGTTCTATTTTTTCTCTTAGCCAAACATTACACTAGATACAGAAAATTGATGTATTATACATTGTTGTTCGCAAAATAAATTAAAATCACTAGAAAAATATTCATTATTCCTATCACTTCTAAGTATTTATATTTTCTTGTTTCAGAGATTTTCAACTTCATTTTTATAAAATTTAAACAATCAAATGCTTCATGTTTATGTTTCTTTAAATAAATACACATGTATGTTGAGTGATCATCTATAAAAGTAATGAATTACTTCTTGCCTCCCCTAGTCAACATGTCATTTAATTCACATATATCCGAAAGAATAAGTTCTAAAAATTTTGAAGTCCTATTCACACTTTCATAAGGCTTTTTTTTATCATTGTAGATTCTACACAAATTTTATATTTATATGCTTCCTTCATATTATACGAATTTATATCACATTTTAACGTTCTTTTTATTGTACTAGCACTCATGTGACCTAATCTAGCATGTCATAATGTAAAAGAATTTATCAAGTATGCAAAATCAACTTTATTTTTATTAATTTTGTCTACAGTACATAGTTTGACTATTCCTTCACAACAATATCCTTTCCAACAAATTTCTCATTTCGAAATAGTACAAATTTTTCGAATTCATAAACACTTTTAATGCCCAATTTTCCCAAGAGACCTCTACTAACTAAGTTCATATTCATGTCAGGAACATGCAATATATTGGTTAAGTTAACAAGT